TGGGAAAACTTTTGTGGAAAGGTAATTGATTGAAGTTGAATATGAGTCAGCAATGTGACTGGTCTGCAAAAAGACCAGTGCAGTTTTAAGCTGCATCAGCCGTTTCCAAATCACAGCAATTTGTTTGCTTGATTCTGCTTTAGTCAGACCCCCATCTTTAATGTATCCAGCTGTGAATGCCACACTTTAAGAAAGGTTCAGCAAAACTGGAAAGGTTCAGAGAAGGGTAGTGAGGATGATCCAGAAGCTATGAAAAGAGATTGAAGCAGCTGGGGATATTTAGCCTTGAGAAGAGGAGATTGGGGAGGCATATTATAGCACTGCTCAAATTACTGAAAAGATGCCCCATGGAAGAAAGACAAGACATATTCTCATTATTCTAGAGCACAGTACACAGAATAATGGGCTTAAGTTACAAGAAGGTATTGATGCCAACATAATGTTATAAAATATTTAAGAGTCATTCAGCAGTGGAACCCATTACCCAAAGAGGTGGTAGTCTCCATTTTATGGGCTGTGTTCAAGCAGAGGATAGTCAGCTATCTGTCAAAGGTGCTTTCATTTAGATTTCTACATGGACCAGGGGGTTAAATTCAAAGACCATATGGTGCTTTCCAATGTTAGAATTCTTAGAAACCCATCCCTATAAAGCAGATTGAGATCTCCTTGTTATTGCAGAGAAAGTACAGCCAAGAGTAATATTGTGGCTCAAGCCAAACCATTAAGATGGAAACTAGACTTTTAAAAACACCAGCATGTAATTCTAGCCTCTTCAGAGAACTCTAGTTTCATTTTCTCAAGCACTCACATACCATTAATGAAGAAAAAGGAGACATTATGCCAGGTAAATCTACACTCCCTTTTCTCCAATGCGATGCTTGATGTTTTATCTTTCTAGCAGAGCACAAGAGCCAGGACATGCTTGCTCCAATCACATGATATTGTATTCTGGCTGGGTATTAACAGAGGAGTCCTTCTCTGTCATATACCCTGGGGCTTGCAGGGTGAGGCTTTTCTAAATTATTTACTTTCCACTGGTTTATAATATCTCGATGCTTCTATTGAAAGTTTCCTGCTATATTTAAGAGCAGTTTTCAGCAAGAAATGACTTTATTTCTCACCTCTGCCTCCCACTCTCCCAGCCTTCTTCCCAAAAACATTGGGACATTCTTGAATCACTGCAGGAAACAATGTTTCTTCCCACCTTTCCAAATATGCACACACCCCTTTTAACATCTGAAACTGAAAAATCCTGTCATCGCTTCTCCTTCAGAATAAAAATACAATGGTAATAAATTAAATAATGAACGTTGCCACTTCATCGTTTCATTTCAAGGCTGGCCCTGCCAGAAATCCAGTGACAAAGATTCCTATGCTGTTGTCACAGAGGCAATTATCTTACGTAGATTTGAAGGACATGAAAAGGATCATGAAAAGATTTCAAAATCTCTTTTGAGTCAAGGTGGACTCTTGGTGACTTCATGGGCACACCCATGCAATTATCTTGGCAACAGGGTTTGCCATTTCCTTCTTCAGAAAATGTTTCAACTTTCCAGTCTAGTGTATAGGCCTGGGATTCTCCTGGTGGATTTCAACCCAAGTTCTAAACCAGGGTTCTCCAAAGTGGCCAATATTGACCCCCAAGGCTGGATGGGACTCTCCGAGGGCTCGATGTTGTTGTTTGTTGTTATTCATAGTACTATTAGTTAAAGTAGTATTTATTAAATTATTTTCATATAATAAATGTT